CGCCTCACTTACGGGGGTTTCTTAATTGACCTTCCATAATGCCACAATAGTGGTGACCTCCCGAATGGACAGCCATAAAAATTGGTACTAAACACAGCCAATGAATTGGGTAGACACAATGGATTCCCTCAGTTGACCGTATATAAATATATTTTAAAAATATTCTTCCCATATTGCCATATATTTGAAATGCTACAATTTTGGCCGTATTCAATATATTTCAAAATATATTTCAATAAAGATATACCGTATACTGCATGTTGAAATGTTTTTATTACAAAATATATAAAAATATTTTTTTAAAATACATTTCAAATAGACTGTATGTCTTTTTAAAATACAAATCTACATTTTTTGGAACGCATTTACAAATATATGTAAAAAATATATGTTAAAATTACTTTTTTATATGTTAAAAAAAATCTGAAGAATATATTTAAAAATATATATTTTTAAAAATATATTCTTCGAAATATATTCTTCAGATTTTGTTTTTAACTTTTTTATAAGTTAAAAACAAAATCTAAAGAATATATTTTTAAAAACATATATCTTTAAAATAGATTCTTCAGATTTTTTTAACATATAAAAAAAGTAATTTTAACATATATTTTTACATATATTTGTAAATGCGTTCCAAAAATGTAGATTTGTATTTTTTAAAGACATACAGTCTATTTGAAATGTATCTTTAAAAATATTTTTCATATATTTTGCAATAAAAAACGCATTTCAACATGCAGTATATATTAAAAATAGCTTTTTTTTATATGTTAAAAAAATCTGAAGAATATATTTAAAAAATATATTCTTCAAAATATATTCTTCAGATTTTGTTAAAGTTAAAAACAAAATCTGAAGAATATATTTTTAAAATAGATTCTTCAGATTTTTTTAACATATAAAAAAGTAAATTAACATATATTTTTACATATATTTGTAAATGCGTTCTTCAAAATATATTCTTCAGATTTTGTTTTTAACTTTTTTATAAGTTAAAAACAAAATCTGAAGAATATATTTTTAAAAATATATATTTTTAAAATAGATTCTTCAGATTTTTTTAACATATAAAAAAGAAAATTAACATATATTTTTCAGATTTTTTTAACATATAAAAAAGTAAATTAACATATATTTTTACATATATTTGTAAATGCGTTCCAAACATGTAGATTTGTATTTTTTAAAGACATACAGTATATTTGAAATGTATCTTTAAAAATATTTTTCATATATTTTGCAATAAAAACGCGCATTTCAACATACAGTATATATATATATATTGCATGTTAAAATGCATTTTTATTACAAAATATATGAAAAATATATAAATTAATTAATTAAATAAATAAATAAAATATATATATATATATATATATATATAATTTATTTATTGAAATATATTGTGAAATATATTGAATATGGCCAAAATTGTAGCATTTCATATATAATTTTCTTCTATGTGGGTTTTGAAAAGCTTTTATTCAGCTTTAGCTTCACTTTGTTTTGTAGGTATTGCAGGTATGAAATATCCCAGGATGCACTGGGAAACCAATAAACGAACCAGAAACGCATCATCAGCAATCACTTGTGGTTCATGTGTATATATTCTGGGAGTGTCTGGTGCAGTGCAGACGTCACATCTGATGTGCAGCGAGGAGCAGCAGGGAGGTGAGCGGGGTCCGGACCACAGCAGAGCAACTATCAGATGGCACACTTAGGGGTTGATTTATTAAAAGCAAATAGATTGTGCACTTTGCAAAGTGGAGTTGCACTCGGCAAGAGCAGTTGCTCCAGAGCTTAGTAAATGAGCAGAAGCCCAGCTGACTTCCATTATCCAATCGTTTGCAAGCTAAAATATTTTTTTCTTGCACGTGATTGGTATATTCTCAAAGCTCTGGAGCAACTGCTCTTGCAAATTGCACAGTCTATTTACCTTTAGTAAATCAACCCCACAGTGTGCAACATGGGAACGCTACAGGGGAAGGTGAGTGTGGACTGGAGAAAGAGGACTGAGCGGCAGAGGATCAGCAGAGCTGGGGGTTACTACTGAGTGGAGGATCAGCAGAGCTGGGGCTTACTACTGAGTGGAGGATCAGCGGAGCTGGGGGTTACTATTGAGTGGAGGATTAGCAGAGCTGGGGTTACTACTGAGTGAGGGGTTAAGCAGAGCTGGGGGTTACTACTAAGAGGAGGATCAGCAAAACTGGGGTTACTACTGAGTGGGGGGTCAGCAAAACTGGGGTACTACTGAGTGGGGGGGGTCAGCAAAACTGGGGTTACTACTGAGTGGAGGATTAGCAGAGCTAGAGGTACTACTGAGGGGAGGAACAGCAGAGCTGGGGGTTACTACTGAGTGGGGGATCAGCAAAAATAGGGATATTACTGAGTAGGGGATCAGCAGAGCTGGAGATTACTACTGAGTGGAGGATCAAGCAGCGCTGGAGAATATTACTGAGTGGGGGATCAGCAGAACTGGAGGTTACTACTAAGTGGAGGATCAGCAGAGCTGGAGATTACTACTGACTGAGTGGAGGATCAGCAGCGCTGGAGAATATTACTGACTGAGTGGGGGATCAGCAGAACTGGAGGTTACTACTAAGTGGAGGATCAGCAGAGCTGGGGATTACTACTGAGTGGAGGATCAGCAGAGCTGGGGATTACTACTGAGTGGAGGATCAGCAGAGCTGGGGATTACTACTGAGTGGAGGATCAGCAGAGCTGGGTTTTACTACTGAGTGGAGGATCAGCAGAGCTGGGGGTTACTACTGAGTGGAGGATCAGCAGAGCTGGGGATTACTACTGAGTGGGGGATCAGCAGAGCTGGGGATTACTACTGAGTGGAGGATCAGCAGAGCTGGGTATTACTACTGAGTGGAGGATCAGCAGAGAGCTGGGGGTTACTACTGAGTGGAGGATCAGCAGAGCTGGGGGTTACTACTGAGTGGAGGATCAGCAGAGCTGGGGGTTACTACTGAGTGGAGGATCAGCAGAGCTGGGGGTTACTACTGAGTGGAGGATCAGCAGAGCTGGGGATTACTACTGAGTGGAGGATCAGCAGAGCTGGGGATTACTACTGAGTGGAGGATCGGCAGAGCTGGGAGTGACTACTGAGTGGAGTATCGGCAGAGCTGGGGGTGACTACTGAGTGGAAGATCGGCAGAGCTGGAGGTTACTACTGAGTGGGGGATCAGCAGAGCTGGGGATTACTACTGAGTGGGGGATCAGCAGAGCTGGGGATTACTACTGAGTGGAGGATCAGCAGAGCTGGGGATTACTACTACTGAGGGGGATCAGCAGAGCTGGGGATTACTACTGAGTGGGGGATTAGCAGAACTGGGGATTACTACTGAGTGGGGGATTAGCAGAGCTGGAGGTTACTACTGAGCTGGGGATCTGCTGAACAAGGATACCATTGAGCTAGGGATCTGCTGAGTGGGGGGGGAACTACTGAGCTCGGGTTCTATTTGGCCCCTTTAAAACAAACAGATAACCAACACACACAGGGCATTTGCCAAGCTTCAAAAAAAGCATCATTGAAGCATCAAAAACACATAAAAGAAAGCATGTTGAAGTGTTAGGCGCATTAATGCGTGCTGAAGCCAAAGTGTGTAAATGAGCCCTAAGAAACAATTTCATGAGAAGTAGATTTCGGGGCCGTTAAGCATCGGATGTTGATTGGTTTTGGAGAATGAGGATATCACTTAGTGTCACTTTAAACTTTTTTTTTTTTTTTCAAACTCCTTAACACTTTAAATGGCATAAAATGTCACATCCTGACCTCTGCAGGGGGCCACCTCCTCCAAATCCAGCATGTCCTTATAAAACACACTCAGCAATTACACTGTAAACACTCTAACATGCCTTCTATTTAAAGGGCCCCTCCTTCTCCTGAGGCAGCAGCTTGCCCCCCCCCCCCCTTCCCCAGGGCAACTACGCCCACCCTTCAGCCAGCTCCCAGGGAGTGAAGCACTCCGCCTACAACTGAAGACCTGCCAGCAAGACGCCCCACAGCACTGAGCTGCTCATTTCATGGGGGGAGGAGGTCAGGACAATCACAATGAGAATGACAACAAAATGCTAATAACCCCAGAGGTGATTTTTGTTTGTTCGGAGGTGCAGCCCCCTGTAGACCACATTGGGTACTGCATGTGGCGGAAGGGTCCCAAAATTAGAAAACAACACGAGTTGACATAAAATGATTACTTCTGTATAATTTTGATAATGAACATCTCTCCATTTTTTTTTTTTTTTTTTTTAAATCAAAATATATGTAAACCCAAAATCTACATTTTCGTATGTCTGCGATCATATTTTGTGTCGTTTTCTTAAACTTTGTGAAAGTTTTTCAGTGTTTCTTACCTGGAGATCCTGCCAATAACAGCACTTCCTGTTGCAGTCTGACCACACAAAACCACCGCCTTTCATCTAGCACAGCGGTTCTCAACCTGGGGGTCGCGACCCCTTTGGGGGTCGAACGACCATTTCCCAGGGGTCGCCTAAGACCATCGGAAAACACATATTTCCGATGGTCTTAGGAACCGAGACACCGCTGCAGTCTCCGGCGATGTGTGGGCGGGATGATACGCTGCTGTCACCCGGCCACACCTCCAAGATCGCTCAGCAGCTCCGCCTCCTCACCGCTGATTGGCCACCGGAACTGTAGCTCAGGAGAGGCACACAGGCGGCCAATCACCGGCAAGGAGGTGGAGCTTGGAGAGGAGGAGCCAAGCGGCAGCGCGCGCGGACATCAAAGAACACCGAGGGAGCGAGTGAAGAGAGAGAGCGGCCAGAGAAGGAAGACAGCTGACAGGTAAGTGAGAGAGCGAGCCCAGGCTGGAGCAGGGGTCAGCAAGGTAAGTATCATTGGTGTCAGTGGGAGGAATAGTGCCCCATCATTTGTGTCACTAATACCAACGATGGGGCACTATTCCTCCCCCCACTGACACCAACGATGGGGCACTACTCCTCCCCCCACTGACACCAACGATGGGGCACTATTCCTCCCCCCACTGACACCAACGATGGGGCACTATTCCTCCCCCCACTGACACCAACGATGGGGCACTATTCCTCCCCCCACTGACACCAACGATGGGGGCACTATTCCTCCCCCACTGACACCAACGATGTGGCACTATTCCTCCCCCCACTGACACCAACGATGTGGCACTATTCCTCCCCCACCACTGACACCAACGATGGGGCACTATTCCTCCCCCCACTGACACCAACGATGGGGCACTATTCCTCCCCCACTGACACCAACGATGGGGCACTATTCCTCCCCCCACTGACACCAACGATGGGGCACTATTCCTCCCCCCACTGACACCAACGATGGGGCAGTATTCCTCCCCCCACTGACACCAACGATGGGGCAGTATTCCTCCCCCCACTGACACCAACGATGGGGCAGTATTCCTCCCCCCACTGACACCAACGATGGGGCAGTATTCCTCCCCCCACTGACACCAACGATGGGGCAGTATTCCTCCCCCACTGACACCAGTGATGGGGCACTACTCCCACTGACACCAGTGATGGGGCACTACTCCCCCCACTGACACCAATGATGGGGCACTATTCCTCCCACTGACACCAATGATGGGGCACTACTCCCCCCACTGACACCAATGATGGGGCACTACTCCCCCACTGACACCAGTGATGGGGCACTACTCCCCCCACTGACACCAATGATGTGGCACTATTCCTCCCACTGACACCAGTGATGGAGCACTACTCCTCCCACTGACACCAGTGATGGGGCACTACTCCCCCCACTGACACCAGTGATGGGGCACTACTCCCCCCACTGACACCAACGATGGGGCACTACTCCTCCACTGACACCAACGATGGGGCACTACTCCTCCCACTGACACCAACGATGGGGCACTACTCCTCCCACTGACACCAACGATGGGGCACTACTCCTCCCACTGACACCAACGATGGGGCACTACTCCTCCCACTGACACCAACGATGGGGCACTACTCCTCCCACTGACACCAACGATGGGGCACTACTCCTCCCACTGACACCAACGATGGGGCACTACTCCTCCCACTGACACCAACGATGGGGCACTACTCCTCCCACTGACACCAACGATGGGGCACTACTCCTCCCACTGACACCAACGATGGGGCACTATTCCTCCCACTGATACCAACAATGGGGCACTATTCATCCCACTGACATCAGTGATGGGGGCACTACTCCTCCCACTGCAAAATTACAGTTATGAAGTAGCAATGAAAATAATTTTATGGTTGGGGGTCACCACAACATGAGGAACTGTATTAAGGGGGTCGCGGCATTAGAAAGGTTGAGAACCACTGATCTAGCAGCAGCGTTGTCAGGCCTCTGTAGGTGCTCCTTCTCTCAGCATCATTCTAGGATGGAGAATAGTTGACATGGGATGTCTGCAATATTTAGTGTCTTTTTCTTGAACTTTGTGAACGTTTTTTCTGTGTTTTTTACCTGGAGATCCTGCCAATAACAGCACTTCCTGTTGCAGTCTGACCACACTAAACCACTGCCTTTCATCTAGCAGCAGCGTTGTCAGGCCTCTGTAGGTGCTCCTTCTCTCAGCATCATTCTAGATGGAGGATAGTCGACATGGGATGTCTACAATCATATTTAGTGTCGTTTTTCTTGAACTTTGTGAAAGTTTTTCAGTGTTTCTTACCTGGAGATCCTGCCAATAACAGCACTTCCTGTTGCAGTCTGACCACACTAAACCACCGCCTTTCATCTAGCAGCAGCGTTGTCAGGCCTCTGTAGGTGCTCCTTCTCTCAGCTTTATTTTAGGATGGAGGATAGTCGACATGGGATGTCTGCAATCATATTTAGTGTCTTTTTCTTGAACTTTGTGAACGTTTTTTCAGTGTGTTTTTTACCTGGAGATCCTGCCAATAACAGCACTTCCTGTTGCAGTCTGACCACACTAAACCACTGCCTTTCATCTAGCAGCAGCGTTGTCAGGCCTCTGTAGGTGCTCCTTCTCTCAGCATCATTCTGGATGGAGGATAGTCGACATGGGATGTCTGCAATATTTAGTGTTTTTTTCTTGAACTTTGTAAAAGTTTTTCTGTGTTTTTTACCTGGAGATCCTGCCAATAACAGCACTTCCTGTTGCAGTCCGACCACACTAAACCACCGCCTTTCATCTAGCTCCTTCTCTCTCAGCATCATTCTAGGATGGAGGATAGTCGACATGGGATGTCTGCAATCATATTTAGTGTCGTATTCTTAAACTTTGTGAAAGTTTTTCAGTGTTTCTTACCTGGAGATCCTGCCAATAACAGCACTTCCTGTTGCAGTCTGACCACACTAAACCACCGCCTTTCATCTAGCTCCTTCTCTCAGCATCATTCTATGATGGTGAATAGTCGACATGGGATGTCTGCAATATTTAGTGTCTTTTTCTTGAACTTTGTGAAAGTTTTTCTGTGTTTTTTACCTGGAGATCCTGCCAATAACAGCACTTCCTGTTGCAGTCTGACCACACTAAACCACCGCCTTTCATCTAGCAGCAGCGTTGTCAGGCCTCTGTAGGTGCTCCTTCTCTCAGCATCATTCTAGGATGGAGAATAGTTGACATGGGATGTCTGCAATATTTAGTGTCTTTTTCTTGAACTTTGTGAACGTTTTTCAGTGTTTTTTACCTGGAGATCCTGCCAATAACAGCACTTCCTGTTGCAGTCTGACCACACTAAACCACCGCCTTTCATCTAGCAGCAGCGTTGTCAGGCCTCTGTAGGTGCTCAGTCATTCAATCCAACCTCAAAAAAAAAAAGAAGCTTTTTCATATATCTTCAACTTTTCAATAAAAACATTTCTTGGTGATCCTGCCATAAAGGTCATTGTGCAGAACGTCCTGTCCCCTTGCTCCCAGTTATTCTCCTGGGCTGCAAATGGGAGATTGCAAGCGACTGTTTCAACATGCATTACACTATCACTATCTACTGTTGTCACCATCGGGAAGAGTGCCCGAGAGACACCATGCAGTCATGGCTGGAGTGCAGGTAGACACGAAGCGGCTGTAAAGAGGCTGCAGGAGACCTGCAACACTTAGTTGCAGCAGAGGATGTATTTTATTTTAAAAGAATGGCGACTGACTACGATACACACGGCTGGAAGCAACCTCAGTGTCACCCGGCTAGGACTTACGTAAACTTTAAAGTGGAACTAAACTCCCAAAATTAAATCAGTTCTTAATGAACATTCATCTTCATGGGCGGGAATGATGCGTCTCTGGTGTTGCAGCCTCTCGGGATTCTTCCATCACATCTTCCAGGGGGCTGTAGGACTGGGGACATAGAGCAGACGGAGGACGGTCAGGAGGAGGAAGGAAGGCGGGGGGTCCATCACATCTTCCGGGGGGCTGTAGGACTGGGGACACAGAGCAGACGGAGGACGGTCCGGAGGAGGAAGGAAGGCGGGGGGTCCATCACATCTTCCGGGGGGCTGTAGGACTGGGGACACAGAGCAGACGGAGGACGGTCCGGAGGAGGAAGGAAGGAGGGTCCATCACATCTTCCGGGGGGGGGCTGTAGGACTGGGGACGCAGAGCAGACGGAGGACGGTCCGGAGGAGGAAGGAAGGGTGGGGGGGGGGTCCATCACATCATCAGAGTTGGCTTCCTGCACCCAAAAGGAACAGCCAGCTGAAGAAGTCCAAGATGGCAGCTTATGTCCCACTGTGCGGCCCCCGAAGAACGGATCGAAGAGGGACAAGGCTGGATACGCTAGGCAGGCACAGGCGGACCTCGGTTTATGAACACCTCGGTTAACGTAATTTTCGGTTTACGAATGAAAATCCATTGAAAATAATGGCTCGGTTTACAAATTTTTGTTTCGCAATATGAACGGATTAATTGCTTTTCAATGCACTTACAAATTTTTTTTTTTAATCACATCCCTGTACAGTATTTATGCCTTTAATGTGCCCTTTATAAAGAGTTTTGAACAGATAGTATACTTTTTTCTGACCCTCTGGAACGGATTATTTTTTCAACATTTATGAATTTTTTTTTTTTAATCATTTCCCTGTATAGACCTTTAAAGTCTGAACAGAACCTCTGGAACGGATTAATTGGTTTTCAATGCATTTACGAATTTTGTTCGCAATACTAACGGATTAATTGTTTTTCAATGCATTTACGAATTAATTTTTCATCATGTCCCTGTACAGTATTTATGCCTTTAAAGTGCACTTTATAAAGAGTCTTGAAAAGATAAGACTTTTTTTCTGACCTCCGGAACGGATTAATTGGTTTTCAATGCATTTATAATTTTTTTTTAATCATGTCCCTGTACAGTATTTATGCCTTTAAAGTGCACCTTAGAAATAGTTTTGAACACATAAAACTTTTTTTGATTTTTTTTTTCTGACCTCTGGAACGGATTCATTGGTTTTCAATGCATTTACGAATTTTTTTCGCAAAATGAACGGATTAATTGGTTTTCAATGCATTTATGAATTTTTTTTTTTAATCATGTCCCTGTGCAGTATTTATGCCTTTAAAGTGCACTTTAGAAATAGTTTTGAACAGATAAAACTTTTTTTTACTTTTTTCTGACCTCTGGAACAGATTAATTGTTTTTCAATGCATTTACAAATTAATTTTTCATCATGTCCCTGTACAGTATTTATGCCTTTAAAGTGCACTTTAGAAATAGTTTTGAACAGATAAAACTTTTTTTTTTTACTTTTTTCTGACCTCTGGAACAGATTAATTGTTTTTCAATGCATTTACAAATTAATTTTTCATCATGTCCCTGTACAGTATTTATGCCTTTAAAGTGCACTTTATAAAGAGTCTTGAACAGATAAGACTTTTTTTATGACCTCCGGAACAGATTTATTGGTTTTCAATGCATTTATGAATTAATGTTTAATGATGTCCCTGTACAGTATTTATGCCTTTAAAGTGCAGTTTAGAAAGAGTTTTGAACAGAAAAAATACTTTTTTTTTTTTACTTTTTTCTGACCTGTGGAATGGATTAATTGGTTTTCAATGCATTTATTAATTTCTTTTAATCATTTCCCTGTACAGTATTTATGCCTTTAAACTGCACTTTAGAAATAGTTTTGAACAGATAAAACTTTTTTTGATTTTTTTTCTGACCTCTGGAATGGATTAATTGGTTTTCAATGCATTTACAAATTAATTTTTCATCATGTCCCCTGTACAGTATTTATGCCTTTAAAGTGCACTTTATACAGAGTTTTGAACAGATAAGACTTTTTTTTTTTTTACTTTTTTCTGACTTCCAGAATGGATTAATTGGTTTTCAATGCATTTACAATTTTTTTTTTTTTTTTTATCATGTCCCTGTACAG